TGTGCCTGCAAGCTCCAGGCAGGGAGCAGAGGGGAGGGGCCAGCCCTGCAGTGGGGCAGAGAGCTCCATCCAGCCCAGAGAACATGCTGGGATTCTGGGGGAGTCTGGTTTATCTTAAACCAGCAAGGGGCCTGGGACAGAAATTGCATAAACTGGTTTGACTCAAATCAGGTAAGTCTGATACTACATTCAACCAGGTTTATCTCAAACCAGTTTCAGCCATTTTCAAACTAGTTTATGTGCACTGAACATCTGTTCTGTTACAGGTTTAAACCAGTTTCTGATTCCTTGAACTGGTTTATGTATAATGTCTGTCCCTACCCTTATGGCTAACTGCTTTGAAGTGGGTTCCTTTAAGCACCTAAGAGGACATATAAACTCACAGTATAGATCTGTGGAGGAAATGCTTGGAGAAAAAAAAGTTGAGAGTAATCTCTTCTTCCCTACTTCAGTGGGTTAAAAAATCTTAGGAGAATTCTTCAGCTCCTTAAGCCACAGCATAAAAGTCTATAATGATGCTTCACAGCAGAATATAGAAGAGGGAGGAGCAGGCCTGTTGGAAACATGGTCATTTGCTCTACATATAGTGCATATCTTGTAGGACTAGGCTACACCAGTGGCATACCAATGGGGGCACAGGAGAGGGAAAGGGGCCATGCCCCCCGGTGCTGGCCTGGGGTTGGAGGGTGCCAACGGCACTTCCAGTTCTATCACCGGCATTTCTGGGCTCGGCGATTGGCAGCCAGTGGGACCCTCCCCCCCTCAGCAATTGGCCATGGATGGGGCATGTATGCAAGTATTGGCCCCCAGGTGCTGGAGACCCATGGTATGCCACTGCGTTACACATAGGACTAGGCTATATATGCTGCCTTTCCTTTTCAGTTACACATAGTAGCAGATTCAGATGCTGACCTCTGGCTAGTGTACATTAAGTTGAGGGCTCCATCTGTAGTTCCCACAGGGAGAGTAAACTTGCAGGTAGAATAGATATTATCTATTTTGCCTTTGGGCTGAATCTAGGATTTTCTTAATACTACTCATAACTTACATAGTTTATATAATCACTGGTAAAGAAATACCTAGAAAGCTTGTTATAAATTAAACTGACAACATAATGCAGGTACTTTTCCTTTTTCATGTCCTTGTGACAAGGTTTTTAGCAGAATTTTCAGATTCATTGGAATCTAACAGGGTTGCACCACGAGTGCATCTGCTGGGTCCTCAAACATGGGACCCGTGTGTTGTTAACCGTGTGCCTTAGTGCTTGTACCACCTTAGCCCCTGTAGGCTAGGTAAAAACAGATAAATGGGCAACAATTTATGGTCAGACATACGGGTATACAGTGATGGATATTGAAACTACAAATGTGCACAGATAAATAAGGATATGCTATGGTAATTACACGGCCTTTTGATACACAGTAACCAACATAACATTTTTAAAACGGACATTTTTTTTTAATGAGACCAGAGCTGACAGTTAATGCTACATTCAGGTGTAGGCCCTCAATATAGCAAACAGTGACCAATTGAAAAAGTCCAAAGAAGGATTATAAAAATTATTGTTAAAAGGCATGTTCTCCAAGAAGAAACCAAAAGAACTAGAAATGTTCAAGTTGGAAGAGAGGTGGCAAACAGGGAACACATGAAGAGTAAACAAATACCTAAGGAATACTAACAGAGAATTAATCAATGCATTTAAAGTGAACAGAAGAGCAGTCCACCAATATGAAAATATATTCAGAGTAATTTTAATGGAAAATTCCTGATAGGCATATTAAAAAGTAGAAATAAATTTCTATCTGAAAGTTGCAATGACTGGGAGTTGGAGCAGCAATGAATACAGTGAGTGATGTATAAAACTCCATAGAGTTCAACAGATACACCTGGAGAGAGAATTTGGTCCTTTATGTCACTACCTTCATTATAACTTTCTAGCGTTAAATCATCTCTCATAGATTGGCTACACATATCAAAGTTGAACTTCAGTGTTTTTCACCCGTGGTAGAAAATAATAAACAAACTGAAGCAAGTCATTTAATTGATCTTCACAAAATAAGCTTTTGCACTCGTAATTGTGCTGAGTATCTACATATTACTGCACTCATTTTTTTTTTATAACACAAGAGATCATCAGTTTCAAAGCTTTTACAGTTCATCACCAGCTGCAGACTACACAATCTTAGCTAATTGTGTCCGGGTACTAACTTTTTCATTTAATAAATAGCCTTTTGTAAGTTAATTTTGATTTTATCCTAACGCTTGGATGCATGTGCAGCATCCTATCCTTCAAAGCTGTACAGGCTAGTCCAGGTTCCCCACTACAGTTAAATAATTTTCTCCTTCTTTGGGAAACGTTAGAAGATGATCAGCATTACCATTTAATTATAGCAGTCTTTATAAATTGTATAAATCATATAATTTGTTGTCCAAGGTTATGCTTTTTGCTGAGCTTCTAAGTAAATATGAAGACCTTAGCAGGAATTTGAAGAATCCAAGAAACAGAGGTTGATCCCTTCCCTGCTTTTGTGTGATAATCACATTTGTTCAACTGTAAAAGAAAATGAATTTTTATTTGTAATATTTTCTCTTTGTTGTACTTCTAGAACATGGGGAACACAATCAACCATTCTATATTTGTCTCTTTACCAGGCTGCGAAATCTTATGTCACTGCCCTCATTTTAAATATATATTTTTTTATTTCTGTCAACTAGTACAATTAAATTTACCTTTATAAGCAAATTCTTTGTTTTATCAAGAGTAAGTCATCTCTCCTCTCTAAAATTGCGTGTTTTACCAAATCTATTGTGTTAATCCTTTTTTTCCTTGCTGTCCCCTTGATTTATTGGCTCATTTTTTTTATTTCCCTTCAGTGTATGGAGGCAACCAATAAGGTAATGTTAAACAGTTACCTTCTTCTGCTTACCTGATAGTGCAGCATCCGGCTGGTCTCACCCTGTTGATAATTTGGCAACTTTAGTTTGTCCTTTCCATCCATCCATTGGTGGTCTACTGGCAGTCCTGGCTTCACACACATGAATAATTCAAGTTTGGAGTCCATACCTGCAACACACACAACAGTAGTGTCACTGCATAAGTGAGCAAAGGAGTTCACTGAGGCACAATCGCTTAGTCTATTAAAGATTAAATCACATTTAACAGTTAAACTCTGTTAATGCTCCCGGTCTGCTGGTTTCTTCATGCATGTGTGTTTTGCAGCGCACTGCTCATACATGTGTTCACTGTGATGCTAATTTGCAGCATGGTGGGGGTTTTTGGGGGGGTTTTTTTGACACTGGGAGATCCCTAGTGTAACAAACCCCCCCCCCCCAAAAAAAAAACCCAACAAAAGAAGAAGAAACCCAAAAAAACGCAGCAGAAAAAAGCAGGGCTGCAGCATACACTGCTTGAAACCAGAGCCTGGACAGCCTGAGCCACTCTCCAGCTGCCAGCCAGGTTCCATGCACCCAGATTGCCACTGCGGCAGCCCTGGGAGGCCCCCAGGACCCCAGATAAGGTTGCTGAGGCCAGCCCAGGTGCTGGCCCCTGCCTCCACTACCCTACCCAGGGCAATCTGCTGCATGCCAGAATATGCATGCAGGGGCATGCCCGGGGACAACTAGCAGTGGCACAAACATGCGCCACTACTATTTGTCCATGGGTAAACGCACGTTCCCACTCGTGGGGACACACCTCCTTTGTAGTCAGTTGCACAATAGAATTCTTAAAGAAGCAGAGCAGAGATGTTTACATCAGATTTTAAAACAAATAACTAATTTCATATAATACAAAACATAAGAAACCATGAACTGCTATCAGTTTTATCCATTTAAGCAGGACAACACTGGAACTAGATACATATAAAGTTTTTGAAGAGTTGGAAAATAAACCCACTTTATCATTTTAAATCTAGATATACAAGGATGCCTATGGTACCTTATACTCCAGGTAACAATATAATTACAATAAAACCACACCCTAGCTGCATTAAAAAAATAGTTACAGAAACTCTGCTTGTCAAATTGCCACCTCTTTCATCATCATCTAGGATACAAAACCTCAGTGTTATTACCTATTTAATAGATTGCCAGTCTGCATTTGCTAAAGTCTGGGATCTGTACCATTTAAAATTATGTTTCACTGAACTTAGTGAATATGAATGTCTAAGGAACTGTATAGTTTTACTACTGTATGTTATAACATACCTGTTCCATTTGTATATAGTGATTTGGCACTGCCAATATTTTAGTTATTTTGGAAAAAAAATCATAAGTTTGCAGTTATTTAGAAATGACAAGTGTAAAATGGAACTTCAGGTCTCACCAAAACTTTTCCTTAAGGAGCTTACCTAGAACTAACCTATCCATCTTGATTAGATTTTCTATCATCTTTCAATTTCCTTCTACTGGTGTTTGCATAAAAGCCATCAACACTTAGAGTGATGGACACCATTTGGAAACCTGGATGGGTACATAGAATGCACTTGTTAATGTGGATTTTTTTTTTTCAGTTTTTGAGAGTAGCAGTTTGCTCCTAACATAGCAGATCTTGGATATTTGTTAAATTCTTGATTCCCAAATCCTTCTGAAAAAAATGCCAAATATTTAATTTCTTTTCATTTCAGAAAGATTTTGCACAGTTTTTATTAAAATGCATACTTTAGCATCTTTTCCGTTTCTAGGGGGTAGAAATGATTTGCTAAAATATTTCAACAGGTAGCTAGAGTTTGATGTTTTGTAGGCCTATGCAAATCTCTCCAGAGTGCAAAGAAAGTATCATATTTTCTTGCAAACAGTATGCACCTTTTCCCAAAAACAGCTTCTGGAAATTGGGGTACACATTATAAGAAAGGAAAAAGTAAAAGTAACTCCGTGCATGGCATTCCTTAGGGAGTGGAACAATGAGCAAGCTGGGCAACTCAACTGCTGCTATTCAATGACTTACTCCAAAGAACTATTTTTTCTTCATTTTGCCTTTCAAATTAAAGCATGCATCTTATTCCAGGGCATTGTATGTGAGAAAATACAGTAATAACATTGGTGCATTATGGGCTCAACTCTGATTCTGCTGAAGTTCATTAGAACTTTGTTATTAAGTTTAATGGAAGAGTGAATCCTACATTTTCCCTGAAGAGTCACAATTGTTATATTTAGCCAGGGGTGTTAATGACCCTCTCTCCCCGCGCACTCCCTAGCAGACCTGGAAGTGCTTCTGGTCTACTTCCGGGTCTGCTGCTGAGCACGCTGGGGACCCCCTTGCGCTCCTGTGGGAGATTCCATCTGCCCCAGCATTGCAGCATTCACAAGCCGCCTAGTACCTTGAGGTCTGTAGAAAAAACATTTAAAGCTGTGTCTATGTCTGAATTGCCCTATCTTTCCAAATCTCTCCAAATCGATTTGGAGGGTTCCGATTCGATTCAGAGAGATTAAAGGGTCTTCCTGATTCGGTGGCTGAATCCGAATCAAATAGGGCTGAATCTCCGCCGAATCAAATCAGAAACCAAAGCTTCGCACAGCCCTAACAACAGCCCAGTTATCATACAATATAAATAGATTGTTAAGCCTTCCATGCAGGGACTGTGTCTTCACATTAGCTTATATGGTACTAAGCAGGACAAGATCTTAAAAAATAAACTTCAGTTCTTACCCAAATTCTAACTGGAGTTTATTGGTGCTACTGGCATGTCTAAATGAGATGCTAAATGCATAGTAGATTAATTCTACTGTGTATTAGCATGTCACAGCAAAAGCTATGCTAATGTGCTAATGTGCAGTAGAGTTAGTGTACTGTGCATTAGCATCGCAAAAAACCTGTGCACCACTGCTACTGAGCACTAGCACCAATTTCTGTGCATTCAGTTAATAATGAGCATTAACAATAGCACATTAATGAATGTGCAGAGGCACCGACTGTAAACCAAGTATTAGTTCAATATAAATAATGAAAATGGGTCATGTGGTCTGTAGAAGGAATCAGGGTTTAAAATGTGTAATCCATTTGCAATATTCACTGAACAGTCATTCCTACTTGCATATATCAAATACCTGGATTATAAACAACCAGCATCTCGGCAGCTTGAATAGACTGGGGGCTATCTGCAAATGTATATCATCTGGGTATAATGGCGATGGCCCCGATTCAGCAAAATGTGTAAGTACGTGTTTAAGTCTACTTTTAAACATTTTGCCAAATTGGAGCCTATCTGTGAAGTATGCTTCTCTGTACTGGGTTTTAAATTATTCCCTTCTTTTATATAACATGATAGCTTGCATGCGAATCACCAGGTGCATTGAGATTCAGCTTTTTACTCCATTTTTGCACATTATTCCACAGAAATTAGCTTCATTTTTGTGGAGTCATAATAAAATCCAAAGAGAAGAATCTACTTTTTCAATCAGTTAGCTAGCAACAAGAAATAAAAAGAACCATGCATATGTGCTCAACAAAATAAAACAATAGTTAGATATAAAATGAAGATAGTTTTATTAAATCATTATTCTAGAACACCATGTTTAAAACAGAAGCCTTATGAAAAGCAGTTACTGTGCAAGGAATGCAACCACTTGTAATTTCTGCCATTTATTCTTCAACTTAATTGACAAGTTACAAACTTGAAAATATCAATTTAAAAATAAATATTCATCATTTTTACTTAAAGGAATGCAGATCAGTAATTATATATGTGAATTATTGTTTTTCAACTTAGTGAAGACTGAAATTTTCCATGTTTCTTGCTGCAAAATACTGCAAAGACAAAAACAACTTTGTACCAAAACACTTTGCATTCCAGCATGTACTCAAGAATGTTTCTGCCATACTGACTAGTGACCATAGCCTACAGAACCTCATACCTGTCATGTGACTAAAATGCATTTGGACTTGCATGAATCATCTTCAGTATTTTCAAGGTCACTCAGTCACCTTTAACTCTGCGATTCATTTCTTTTACCTTTGCTATAACCCCACAGTTAACCCAAGTCAGAATTATTGCTTTTTAAAAAACATGAACACAGATTGTAAACTGATATCAGATTCTCTCTATAACTGTTTTTAGGTTCAACCTAAGATATTTCTATTCATTATCAACTGCTGTGTCCACTCTACTAGCTGTTCATTTTTGCATTACACTTTTTTTTGTTCTCCTTTGCCAGAGTGGCTTCTTACTGGGCTAGTAGGCCAGGCTCTGCACCTAGCAGGGCATGCTGCAGACATAGTAAACATGATCTACATGTGATCACCGACTAATGTCACTGTAGCAGCGCGCTTCCCCAGTATAGCATGCTGTTACAGCAACACAGCTGGGAAATTTACCCATGCACCTCATGCACAGTGCAGTAACAGCCCGCACTGTGCCATACTTTAGCACTTCTAAAGGGTAGTACTAAAACACAGCACCGTAGCAAGTTCACCATACAGCGACATGTAGACATGCCTGCGGTATGATAACAGGCACTCTATAAATAAACTATTCTTTTCATATTCCAGTCTAGCAGCAGTTTTGTCATTTGCTCCATAGTAGCAGCTGAGAGTTGTGACAGGGCAAAAACTGGATTTTTCAAAATCTCAAGTCAGCTATACAGAGCCAAATTATTTTCCTTTCACTGAAAATATGTCAGATGTCACAAAAAGCTGAACTTCCTAACTCCAAATCACTGCAGTATATCAGTCAAGGGTATACAGAGAACAGGTCACTTGATTAATTACTTCAGGGATACCACAGGTTTTGAGGTACTCCTTGACACATTTGCCCTATCAATTCTGCATACCTGCAACAGCTACATTATTATTTCTTTGCTATCATCTATTTTTTTGGCTTAAGATTCAAAGTCACCAATATCCAGCAAGCCTATAGCTTTATATACCCGCTTTTATCTCTAAAATGGCTGATGTATAAGGCTGTAGCACAGACTGAGGGTTACACCTAACATTGCATCCTTCTGCTTTTAAGGCTACCTTCACAGTTGTCAGCCCAATTCAGAAGAAGGCTAAATTATGGTTTTAAGACAGTCCCTTGACAGGCAATTCTCAGTGGCATCTGCATAAGTGGCTGGGCACACTGAACA